AACAAGTATTACGTTACAAGTCTTACCACCTTATCTATTCATTTTTTTTTTACCCAACAAAATAAATGGATAAGAAGATTAAATTAGTGCTTAATTGTACTATTTAATTTGTTCCCGTAATGTAAATATCATAAGATAAATTTACTTTAATTTTGAAGTTCGAAAAATTGTATTGTTCTTCAATTTGATAAAAAAAAAATTCTTTTAAATATTCAATGGTTGTTTAATATCTTTAAATCATAATATAAATAAAATATTGAATATGATTCTCCTAATACAAATCTTTTTCAATTTATGAAACTTTCAAGATGATTACCAATATTGTATACACTACAAAAATAATAATAATAATAAAAAAAGAATTATCAAACAAATTATCAAGCTAAACAACTACAAACTAGCAACCTAAGGCATTGTCCGGGCCACATGCCAAAATTTTGGCCGATTTAACAAATTCTATTAGAAGTGTCAATTCGGGTGTCCGGATCAGGTTTTATGAGGTTGGATCGTGTCGAGTCTAATTTCAAACTTGAGTCATATTGAATTATTGTGTCTATACGAGTTGAAATCTGATTTTTCCAGTTCAGTTTCGGATCGGCTCAACTGGATCAGTGGGGTCAGATTTTGACAACTCTAGGTTTCATAATAGGGAACAAACAAGATTCAAGAGATATTATAACTAACATTATTTTGCCTTTACTATCATCAATGTTCAATTAGTCACTGGCTCACTGTTATGTCTTTCTCCATGCCCTGTCTCCTAATTCAAGTTCAACCTCGCGCCCACTCAATTTCATCTAAAGTTTCATAGATCTTCCATATGATGCACGTGTATGGGTGGCTTATCACCTATTTCATTTATCTTATTTTTGCTATCCTTGATAATTTATACTACCAAACACAGTTGGTACTATACTGATAGTGTAAAACACTTATTGAGGGATTTCAATCATTAGTTTAAGATTTTAGTTGAATAATTAGTACACTAATATGGTATCAAAAGCCACAAAGCTTGTTATATACACCTGAATATACGGTGTATTTAAGGTAAATTTTGCTTAGTTTGATGATTAAATGAGCAATGAGCAAAAAATAATCTTGGTACATATTATGGCCTAAACTAATCGCTGTTGGAGCTTTAATATGTTATATGATCGTAATTTACATGTAATATGAGGAGCTTTAGGCTTTTAGCCCCTCCTTTTTAGCCACCTTCTTATAACTCCGTACATCGTATGTAGACGGGATTCGACCTAATGATTTTAGCACCACCCTTAGGCTTTAACCAAGTAAACTTATTGACATCCATATAAATATTAGGTATGGCCCTGTTTGACAGTTAGTTGTTAGCTAATTTGATTAGTTATTAGTTGTTAGCTGCTTGCATTAGCTATTTTGACTATATATATATATATAGCTAATCATAACTATTTGTTTAAGTAATTGAAATTGTTTGGTCATAGCTTTTAGTTATTGGTTGTTAATTTTAGTGTTTTAAACAGAAATAAGCTAAAAGTTCTCTCAAAAACTCCTCATATGAGTTTTTTTTTTTTTTTTAAAAAAAAAGAGCTTTTTAGGTTCAAAAAGCTCTTTCAAATAGCTCATAATCCAAAGGGCTTTTAAAATAATGGTTAAACCATTCTTTTTACTACAAGTAGCTAGGTTTTAACCAAACACCCCCTATATATATATATATATAGTATATACTAGTTGTTCAATTGAAGTATATATCACTACAATCTCTTACATTTGTACCTTCTCACAAACATATCATTTCCTCTTATCTTTCTTCCGTTCATTGTCTTCTCCACCTTCCTTTACAAATGGCTAGCATCACCAACCAAGAGCAACAAAGGATTGCATTTACCACCGACCCCACCAACGCTCCCAATGATCGGAAACCTCCATCAACTCGGTAGATTACCTCACCGTTCCCTACGATCCCTTTCCAACAAGTATGGCGATCTCATGATGCTTTACTTTGGCAACAGGCCAACCTTCCTTGTGTCCTCTTCGAAGGCAGCCAAAGAGATCATGAAGACCCACGAACACCTCTTCCTCGACAGGCCTCAACTACGTTTCGTCGACAAAATTTTTTACCATGGAAACGACGTAGGATTCAGTTCTTACGGAGATAGATGGAGGTACATGAAGAGCATTTGTGTGACGCACCTTCTATCCAACAAAATGGTTAAGTCTTTTCAATCGATAAGAGAAGAAGAGGTGGCGCGTGGGATCAAAGAGATCAAAAGCTACGGTAGTTCACCTTTGAACTTAAGTGAGGTTTCTTCCGCACTCTTCAATGGTTTCATTTGTAGGATGGCACTAGGAAGGAAGTGCGACGGCGGCTACGATCAAGAAAGTGGCAAGGACATCTATCGGATGTTCAAGGAGCTTGCGGAGGTTATGGGGACTATATGTGTTGGAGATTATGTCCCCTCTCTAAGTTGGATTGATAAATTATCAGGGTTGCATTACCGGATGGCGAATGTGCATAGACAATTTGATGCATTTATTGAAGAGCATGAGATTCAATATGAACAACGTAATGATAATTGTTGTAATAAAGATGATGAAGGAAAGAAATGCCGAAGACTTTGTGGAGCTTTTGCTTGAAAATCAAAGAGAAAACCCTGAGCAACTTTCAAGAGATAGCATCAAAGGCATTATTCTGGTAAGCCTTTCTTTTTTACATATCACTTTTCATGACATAGGTTCCCATGCATTTTTAATTGTCTTTATTTTTCTTTTCTTGTTAAAATCCGTTCCTCCCCCGGTATTGAAATATTACGGGAACATAGAAAGTATTACATCCCGCCTATTTGGGCTTAATTTGTTATCAAAGACACAATTCTTGCCAGCTTAAGATTAACTCTATTAAAATAAACTTGAATTAACCTTTTATTGTGGGGAAAATCTTATACATGCTGTTAGTTTCATAATATTTTATTGTGATTTTATGAGATTAAAGTGACTTTTTATAATACTCAATACATAAATATATATATAGTTAACTACTTTTTCTTTAATGCAAATATATAGTTAACTACTTAACTTGTTTGACAACTCACTTTTGTAAAATGATCTCAGCCAAAAATAGCTTTTATTGGCTAAGGCCCCTTGTTATTGACTTTAAGTTAACGACTTCCTCTTAATAAATCTTTAAGAAACGTACTTACGGATTATGTGAAGTATATAAATAGATCAAAATGTTTTATAACTTTTAACTACTACTTTTCAAATCCTCAATACTTAATTTCTATATTTTTTTTTAAATTTTACATCATAAGGAATTTATATACGTAGTAGAAGTAATCAAATTTATCTGGATAGGATATACTTGGTGCGGCCACAGACACGTCCACTACGTTGCTAGAATGGGCAATGACAGAGTTATTAAGGCATCCTATTATCATGGAAAAAACTACAAGAAGAGGTAAGGGACATCATCAAACCCAATACAAAGGTGTCTGAACATGACTTAAAGAACATGAAGTACCTAAAGGCAGTGATAAAAGAGACTTAGGCTACATCCTCCAGTTCCCTTCTCGGGATTTAGAGAATCCTCCGGAGATGCCATTATAGGTGAATATAACATTACTCCAAGGGCTCTAAATATTGTGAACGCATGGGCAATACAGCGCGATCCTAAACTTTGGGATGATCCGGAGAACTTCCATCCAGAGCGATTCTTAAACAACTCAAATGTTGTTTTTAAAGGACAACATTTTCAATTGATCCCATTTGGAGCTGGGAGAAGAGGTTGCCCCGGAGTTTCCTTAGCCATTATCACTATTGAACTTGCATTAGCAAGTCTTATTTACGAATTCAATTGGAAGTTATCCAATGGGGTAAAAGGAGAGACCTTAGACGTTGAAGAAACTTGGGGTATAACTGTTGGACGAAAATATCCTCTTATTGTCATTGCAACACCAACTATCTGAACTATGTCTTTGTGTTCTTGCCTCGATTTGTAATAGATCTTGGCTTTGTTGTTTTTAATTTATTTTACAATTTATAACTTGATATTATGAGTATCCAAAAGGATGCCATGTTATGGGAAGTACACATTCGAAGATGACACAATCATGTAACACAGCAATGGCATACATGCTGTAATGTTGTATGACATGATCATGTCGCTTCAGTTATATATGCAAGTATTCTATTATGGTAAGGTGTTTCGTTGTTATGGTATGATTTGACAATATCTTTGTTTCTTTTGTAATTACTAACAATTAAGAATCAAGATAGTGTCAGATTCTTGTTCCTTGCCATTAAAAAAATGTAGTTGTGAAATGTAATCAATCAGGTAACATTATCGCTAGGAGAATTATGTTACTAGCTACATTGATGAGATTCATTCTAAACTAACTCTGACCCTTAGCTCGAATCTCTAGTTGATGAGGTGAACAGAGCGTCTCAAACTCGATTCAGATCTGGTGGATCCAAACTGGTCTTCAAGACTCGATAAGATGTTTCGAACATGACAATTCAGTCCATGCAGAATTGATGTTGAAGACATAATACAGTTGCAGACTTGCAGTAATTAGAAAACTTCAGCTAAATCTGGATGCAAGTTCAATTTTTCGTACCCAAATTAGCCGCCAGCCTGCTCACTGATCTACTATAAACTAAGCTAAGAGTAACAAAAACAAAAATTATACAGTAGTACAGACATTACAGGTAGAATTTGAAAGGCTTAAGGTAAAAGCTCTTGGTTGGACTTCTAAAGTCAATGACGATGTATAAGAAATAAGGATAATGTTCCAACATGTTATCCATCACTACACATGATAATATTCAAATGTTATAAATGGATCCTTTGACCGAATCCCACTGGTTCAAGATCTAGAAATTAACCTTTCCAGACGCCACGAATCTGCAAAGTACAACTGCTTAGCTGCGTTACAGCAAATTACAGGCACATTGATCCAATATAGAAGAATGAAGTAATGTACAAAGAAATTCAAGCAAATCTATCATAATATAACTTCTGGTGAAACGCAAAATTACCCTTTAAAATGGACAATATCACCCTAAATGTCATTGAATGACCGCCTCAGGCAAGATTTTTGCCAAGAGGTTATCCGATCAACTCATTCAAGCAAAATCTGAGAAGGTTAAGATTTTACACTAGCTGCATTGAAGATTCATCTTGAGTAAAAGCAATGGCCTAATTTACAATGAGCTGACAAGAACCAATAATATCCTAAATTTTCTGTAAGCCTGTACCTGAAACCTCTACTCCAAAAAAAAAATAAAAAAATAAGCTAGATAGATGTACTCCCCAGCATCTCCGGAAGCTGCATTCATGACATACCAAAAAGAACCGAGAAAGCAAGAAAAAATTAAAGAATCTAGAATGAGCCAGCCATTATAGATCAGTATCCATGCTGCTGATAGAATCTTCTCTCCTGTGTCCACTCTCTGAGCCAGGTAATTCTGCTAGATCGACATCAATAGCCACCTCCTCAGGTGTTGCAGATAAAGATGTCCTCGGAGGTTTCTTACTATGCCGGGATTTTGAAATCCGGGATAATACCTGAACAATGTCTCTCATTGACGGGCGCTTTTTTGGGGCACGGATTACACATTTGTAAGCAAGAGTTGCCACCTCATTAAGTTCCAAAGCATCAAAGTTCCCATCAAGACGTGAATCGACAATTTCTTCCCATCCTGTCCCTCCCTCTGTGTTCATTGCAGCCTGTGTATCAGCAGTTCAAAAAAGGACTGTAATGAGTAGCTAGCATAACCCATTGGACAATTATATAATTTGTGGAACAATTTCTAATGAAATGGTTTTAGCTTATCGCTAAGTATATTGACTGCTATGGACATAATTATGATACTAAACATTTCCTCGGCCAAAAAGGAAATTATTCTGTTCAGATAGACCTATCCACCAATATATCTGTAAAATCTAATTGACGATAACCAATTTTGGTATCATAAGACAATAAAATATTGAAGATTATTTAACCCAAAGACCAGATCATAGGCAGATGTATCCAAAAACAATTTTTAAAAAGTTAACTATAGAAACTAACATCATCTGGTTGGGTCTGAAGAATATCACATTCTCTGGGATTCAATTAAGCATTGGTTTGGGATTGTATCATTAAAACCCACACCAAACCTGTTTGAACCGTCAACGCAAACGAGGCCTAAATGGTTCTTCATTGCAAAAAGACTGCCTTTCTATACAAAAAATATGAATCTTCCATAGACCCCAAACTTCTAAGTATACTTTCAAAGTGGAGCTATGATGCTTGGACTCGGATACAAGTGCTAGACATATGGGTCCAACAGGCAACCATGAAAAACTTTAAAGCTGACAATGTTGAGACACAGTTATGAATGTCCAAAATACATGAAGTAAACATTCATATAGATTTATAAAAGACAGTTAAGGCAATCTTGAGTTACCATATCGCCAGGCATATAGACTGCTATGGGTCATTCATAACTATAAAATGTTTCTGGCAAGAAGAGAGGCATCAAGCATAACAATCTGGGTCCTATATTAACAGGTCTGGTGACATAGTCTTGAGGTGTCAAATTCAATAGATGTATAGGTTCTCAATATATCAACTTACCAGCTCTACATACTCCATGAGACCTTGAAGGGGGTTTCTTGCTGCAATGAGTTCGAAAAGCAAGACCCCATAACTGTAGACATCACTTTTCTTTGTAAAGGTTCTTGTGGATATATACTCAGGATCAAGATAGCCAAAAGTCCCCTTTAAATTGCAAACTTGCCCGTCAATTACCTCTTCCCTTGAAAGCCCAAAATCGGCCACCTGGATTAAGCATAAAACATTTTCATCAGCAAAAAGAAACCACTGCCACCATGGCTTACTAGCATCTCAAATTCACAAAGTCTGCATAAAACAGTTGAACAAGTGATAACAATGTACATACCCTAGCTTTCATTGACTGATCCAACAAAATGTTGGAAGATTTAATGTCACGATGTATCACAGGAGGAACTGCCTGAAAGCAGAAGGAAGAAATCAGATTGAAAACAGCAAAAAAAAATAAGTAGGTTTTCGCTTATCTAAACCCCACTCAATAGATAGAATAAATAAATTACCCCGTCATGAAGATACTCCAAGCCTCTTGCGACATCCAATGCTATATGAACCCTTCGTTCCCAGCTCAATGGTTCCATCTTTTCATCTGGAGAAAGAAAATGAATATGATGAACCCTGTATATTATGGGTTAGCTTATGACAATGTAAGAAAGAAAGCGTGGATCTTATCTGCACAGTATTAATCTAATCTATATAAACACTGTGCAACATGTGTTTTAAGAAATTCCATCAGAAAGATTAAGGGACCATAACACCAAATTTCATACTACATATATTTACAGTAGAAGCACGAGTCAGGTCAGGCAGGTTAAAATTTAATGCACTCAAATTCCTGAAGGAGAACTTGGAAACATATATTATTCATCAGCCTATTATAAATCAACATGAGTGCCTACTTATATGTATTTTTGATGATTTAATGCCAAAAAAGAGGTTTTTTATTAATGTCCTATTGCCAAAAGGAACCAACCATATGACAGACAAACAGGAATATCAGACCCAAAGCATTCCCCAAACTTATTATTACGCTACTACAATTCATTCAGTTTATCGTCCAGCTATAACAGTATATAAGTTGCAAAGCAGAGAATTTAGTTCCCCAAATACCTCAAAATGCCACCATGCTAAAATCAAAAGAAAAGGGTCCAAATGAGCATAGAATCTATTTAATTGTAGTAAAATTCTAAGATACAGCTCACCTAAAACTGGAATAATCAACCCAAGATTGTAATTCAAGTCCTGTAGTTCTATTTCACAACAAATTTCAACCCAATTCGGATACTACCCTCCATCACTTCTCGCGAATAGCAATAAAAATTACGCTCTAGAAGATCATAAGAAAAGGAAAAATCAAAGTTTGATTAATAGATGATAAGGGAAACAAAATCTTATTCAGACAACTATAGATTTTGTTAATGGGACTGGTGTCACTGGTCTGAACAGGAGGATACCAATTAGGGATGCTGAACAAGAAGTTCAAGCGACAAGAACTTCCTATAGAGCCACTTTTCACAGAAGAACCTCTTCCTAATTAAGCTTGCATAGTTGCATGCATGGAAGCCCCAATTGCAATTATCCTTGCAATGGGATCACTTAAGCTGAAAAATGAGGAAACCTGTCAATTTGCAGGCTCCAACGTAAGAAAGGTTCACAAAACTAGGTTTGCAAGGTAGTTTAATCATTGATGTTCGTCAGTCAATCCACAGATGAAAATCAAATATCGTAACTTTTCAACATATCTCAATGTATCCATTTACATGCACAGTAATTAATTTTCCTGGAAAAAAAGTTGGTTAAATCTGATTATTTCATATCATTGCAATGACACCTAGAAGGGCTAGAACACTCTTATTTCTACATTAACCTAGGCTCGCATAAATGCTGAAGATATAATTTGTTCACTTACTGTATAAATGGGAAGCTAGGCTGCCATTGCTCATATACGCATATATAAGCATGTTTTTTCCCTTCTCTGTACAATATCCAAGCAAATTCAAGAGGTTCCTGTGATGCAACCTTCCTAACAGCTTAACCTGAGAAACAAGAGCATGCAATAAAAGAAGGTGAGATCAAGAATCAATCAGCACAATAACTACAGCATAAAAAGAGACAGCAACTTGTCTACCACACAGGACATCTAAGGATGAACCTTGGTATAGATTATATTGCCGCTAAGAAGCTGCACTGATTAAAATATGACATTACCTCTGTTTCAAATTCTCGCTCCCCTTGCTTTGAATCAGTTGCCAGCACCTTCACAGCAACTATTTCACCAGTTGACATCTGAGCTTTGTACACAGGACCATATGCACCCTGGCCAACCAATGTTGTGAAATTCTGAGTCGCCTTCTGCAAATCCCTGCAAAAGAAGTAGCCAGCTTATACTCTTATAGTCATCAAGTAAAGTGCAATCAGAGTTCTGTTCATATCAGTAGTTTCACCATGATTTGAATCTACAAAAAATTACTCTCCAACAAGGATAGATTGACAAAGAGGGTGGAGAAAGAGAGCACTTGAGATACTGAGACCAAAAATCATATTAAGATGTAAATTATACTTGAATTATACATTCTTAGCAAAGCAATGACACCAGCCAAACACAGTAATATGACATTATAAGCTGTAATGAGGTCTGCTACGACAATTATTTATTACCATAAGAAAGCAATTAATACCTCCTTTTACGATTCTCACGTAAATTACAAAGAATCAAAACAGCAGCATATATGTAATAAAATCTAACACCAAGATTCAAGCATCAAGTTATGAAACATAATTGATTTGTTAGCAACATTTACAAAATCCATTGATCAATCTATAAAAATGGCACTAATCGGACTGATAAGATTTCTCATCTTCACTACCCAATTCGGTTTTGTCCCTATGATCACATAAAGAGGATTGCCAATTCCTTATTTTTAATGTCTCAACGGAATAATTTAACATTGTCACTAAAAACTTAAGTAAATTTCGGAAAGCAAACCTGTAAGCAAACTCAAGTATACCAGATGCAGAAACAACATTACTTCTCTTAAAGCCGTCAAGCCACAAAGACATCCCACTGACACTTTTTCTGTATCGTCTTGGAGATTCAGGGCCAAGGGTAGAGTCAGATAACTCTGTACATGTATCAATACCATTTGCACGAATAGGAATTGTCGCCGATCTCCTTGAACTGCTATTGTCAATCTGAGCACGCTTTCTTTGGTATCTAACACAATACAGGGCAAGGATTGCCGCAAACACACCAATTACTACTCCAATAGAGATACCAAGTATCAATCCAGACGATTGGTCACTCATTTCGTACAGTGTGTTGTTGAGCTACCTCACACTGATGCAAATCCATTCCATTGAATCACACTGTCAACATCTAATCTGCAATTAGGTATAAAAATACAAACTATCAACTATTTATCCAACTTTTGTCATACCACATCAATTTTCTCAACTCAAAATCACTATCAGACCTAAAAAACACATACCATTCCCCAATAATCCCAACATCTTAAGTTGCTTACCAAATTTTATATACCCATTTCAGAAAATATCATAAGAATCATACCAAAAACCCGTCCACGAAATCGAAACACGGAAAAGACCACGGTGATCCAAAGATGGGTAAGACTTAAAATTCAAAACGTGCAGCCTCCGGCATTGACTAATACTAATCAATTGTTAATTATAACAGATAAAATGTTGATGAACCATGAAGTATGACTAAAAGTGCCGTGAAAACTGTTCATACTTATTATTTTAGCAAATCCCGCCCTCAAAATGCGAATAATTCATGTTATCTAATTCAAATACTTTACATGAAAAGTTGAAAAAAAAGTCCAGTTTTCTTTATTTCTTTATTTTTTTTTTTTTGAAATTCATACTAAGAGCAAAACTTTCCAACATTTTAATCTATCCACTCAGAAAATTAAAATTCTATAAAAGCATAATTCGACTAAAAAATAAATCACCCAAATAATTATAATGCTCCAACAACATAATTAATTCACTGAAAAAAAACTCATCCAGAAAATTTAGAAAAAAAACTCAGAAATACTAAATGCTCCAACATCATAATTGATCCATAAAATTAAAACAAACATCATAATTGATCCATAAAATAAAAACAAACATCATAATTCAACCAAAAAATAACAACCCCACATCAAATTTTAAGATAATGCACCTAAAAATGTACATCAGGAACTAAATTATTTCAACTCTACTTTATGAATTTTGCTTTTAAACTAACAACCCAGAAAATAAAATTGAATTTCTCTGATAATACATCAAAATTATGCAGTAAAAAAGCGAAATAACAAATGAATAAAACTGAAAAAAGTTGAAGAAAATTGGGTTACCTGTTGAAATCAAAGGAAAAGGTAACTTGGTTTGAAGAAAGAATTAAGTGGGTGCTTTAATCTGTAGTAAGGAATTTTTGTCAAAATGAAGAGAGAGAAAGAGGAGAGAGATTCTAGGAGTCGTAAAAGAGAAAAGCGTGGGGACAAATGAGAAAGACGATCTATATACACTGCTGCTGGGGACTGCGCACAACCTGCTAATTTTACACTTTTTTTTTTTCTGAATTTCAAATAATCAAATTACAGTCTCATGTTTAGTCTTTATTTATTTTTTTTTTATTTTTTTTTGCTGAATTAAATAGTTACACTCTCATTTTTAGTCTGCCTTTTTTATAAATTTGGAAGGAAATCAGGAAAATATAAGGTTGGAAAAGCTGAAGATAATTAACCTAAGAATATATCATAAAGTGGTTGCTCTAATTTTAAATAAGGTAAGAAAAATGAAAGTATTTGAAAACTCCTTACGAATGAAAAGAGTGGATCGTAATATCATATTGATGTACAAAGAGCTACTTTGTGTAAATTATAAAGGTTACGGAGTATATGATTGTAAAAGAACTACTAAACTCACTAACATAGACAATATTTCATGTTATAATAATAAGTTACATATATATACTCAAACTCCACAATTCTTCTTGCAAAATTGATTGAATCGTATGTTATTTCTTTGTTTTTATGCTTTCGCGATGTAAGCAAATGGATAATTTGGAGTAACCTTACTTGTAAAAGGTACAATAAATTGTGCATTAGAAATGTTCCTAACCCCTTCCAAAAACAAAAAAAAAGCAGTACACAACAAAATTAAGTTTTTAAGGCAAATGGCTACCTAATTTAAATATTAATAAAAATGATTAATCAGGACATTCTTACCAAAAAAAAAATAAAAAAAATGTATTTTATCCACTAGATATATAAAAAGCACCGGTGTTTGCATGATTGGTGCGAGTTGTTATTCAAAAAAATAGCCTCGAGCAGTGATAATGTCTTTTGTTTCTGCCTAATTTGCCCTTGATTGCTATTCTGACCATTTTGCCCTTATAAGCTAGTTGATTTGTTTTTTGGGTGTGGATTTGACTTTTTGGGTTGATGGTCATGTTTGCAATGTGGAAATACAAGTACTCGAATTAATTTTATAATACATTTATATAGTTTATTTTTGGCGAGATATGTATAGTGTATAATACGGAGTATTAAATTAGTTTGATACTTTGATCATGTTATGTAAAGATTTGCCGGGCTGTATGCCAACATTTCGGTATGTGCAACATGTATAGAGAATTTTTTAAATATAAAGTGTTTTTTGGAGTATTTTTATACAAGTTTTCTCTGCTCTTAGTAAGCTAAGTTAGTGCCACATATCGATATATTTGTCAATGCGGAATTTTAATGAATGATATCTTTTACTTATAAAGAGTTGATGTTCGAATACAATATATATTAAAATAATTCTAATAAATATCAACAGTGTGATGAATATTAAAAATTATACAAAAGTCAAATTCAACACTTAAAAAGAATCATAGGGAGTAGTATAACTTTTTCATGGATTGACATTGAGATATATTGCACAAAATTTAATTATGAAGTATGTAAAGGGGATTACATCGTACGTCTTGTTCAATACTTAACATTGCCTAATACCTACGAAGTATATACTTCGTAATCCATAATTGTAATTAACTAAGGAGTAACATAATTGTAATTACATCCATCTATCCATTTCATATTATGTGTATGATTTGTTTACTTACACTCAGAACATAGTTGTAATTACATTGGTATTTTTTAATGTTCATTAGCACAATTAATTAATAATGATACATACTAAAAATGCATAAACTAGTACTATAAATGTCCCATTAACCATTTTATAACAATAAGTCAAGGTTTGACAAGTTTATTATTTTAAGTTTATTGACTTTTGTCAATGCTCGAATATATGCTTAATTGCTACACAGTACCTTTTAACCCAAATGTATATGTATATATATTCTAGTATTCTACCCAAAATGTAAAATATTCATTACGGAGTATCAATTTTTGAAATTATAACAGCTTGGATGGATCGCTATTGGTCAAAATTGTTGAACTTGATCTTAACTCAAAAGGGTGATGATTCTGATGAAGCATAAAAAAATTAATGGTAGTTAAGTTGAATTTGCATGATTTTGCATGAGTTCCCAAACGAGCAGTTACATGTCATGTATATGCATGTTTAGGATTTAGAAATTGGTTGAGCACCAACTAATAATAATAAAATGAGTGAAAAATAAATAAATAAATAAATTAGAGATATCAATGGGATGAGGATGTTTTCCTTCCATCCCATGATCATACAACATTGCTACTCTAATTACTGCTAAACCATTTCAATGCACATCTCATTTTAGCACATGATGAGTTTTGTATTAAACTTGAAACTATTATAATATGGTAGGGCTTGTATCACTCAAGCTCCTTACTAAATTCACCAATGATGTTATACGCTTTGGGTAAATACATGCAAACTGAGGGGGACCTTCCATCGGGACCATTCGGGACCTAACTCCTAGTAAATTATTGTAATTAATTAATTATTGAGGTTAAATATCCTATATTTACTTACAAAACATTGGAATATAGTGATTAGTTTTAAGCGATAGGTAAAAGAATCAAATCCTGTCCCCTTTAATATTTTCAACCAAGATTCACCACTGCATGCAAAAAAAGTAAATACCTTTGTATATTGCTAGCTTAGATGACATAAGATAGAATCACTTTTACTTTGTCCATTTAAATTCCTTAAACATGATGTATTGTATGTCTGTATACCATACACCGATTAGGGCCGTATTAATTTTTTCCAATCTACCACCTTAATATACGTTTCTAAATTATATAGGTAGCTTATCCATAGGAGGTGGGGAGGGGAGGGGAGGGGATAGAGGGACTTTTAAGTAAGGATTTGAAATAGAAAAGTGGAATTTAAAAAAGGTGGATGGAATGAAGAAGTTTAGCATAAGTTTTGAATATAAAAAGAGAGAGTGGTTGTTGATGTTGGCGCCATGGCAGTTATCAGGTGGGAAGAAGGCACTCACAGGTGAAAGAGCAATTCAACTGTCAACCAATAACACTACCTAATCTCACTACCTCCCAACTTTCCTTGTCAAACCAGGAATTTCTTTGAAAAAGACTACGATATCTCCATATATATTACAAGTACTATTTATGATGAAATTGCATTGGTCCACTTCCATTTTACAAATTTCTTGTAAATTGGGACCTATCAAAAAAATTAAAACATACTCCGTACTTTATTTCACGTTGATATATGTAGGTCAAAACCCGAAAACTTTTAATTATTTGAAATTTACACTATTTACACAAACTATTTTTATCAATTGAAAATAGCTTATATTTTTTTTACCGATTCACAACAAAATTAAACCAACTGCTGATTGAATTAGCGATTTTATTGGTTTTACTCTTAAAAAAACCGCTAATTGATTTCCCCTTGACCTAAATTAGCAATTTATTCCTTAATAATGTTGTGCAACATATTGTTTTTGGTATACTTGTTTTTGCGTAAACTGCTAATTCAATTAAGGGTTCTTTAACTTAAAATAACAATTTATCATCAATAATTAAACCCATTTTATATTTTATTTTTTTGCTGATGTGGACGATATTGTGGGAAAATTGATAACATGGTGTAATAAGGAATTTTACGTGGTTTGAACATTTTCCATGAAAATCGGTCAATTTTAAAAGGAAAACTAATACTCTACGAAATACTTTTTATGAGCAAGTTTACTTTAAACCATTATAAAACCTGTCTTGTCCCATAATTAGACGATTGTATAAAGACCCGCCCATTTATTATTTATAGACGGATCCAACCCATTTATAACCGTGGCGGGTCATGGCTTTTAATAGGGCTCCAAGGCCTCCAACCATACCTGTCTCTCAGTTCACTTGTCCGTTGAAGCGCAGTTCACGTTCTCCGTTGAATCTTATACTTGTATCCCCCCATTGAAGCAGCTTCTGAGGTAAGTTGTTTGTTTTTGTTATCATCATATAAATTTCACAATCTAGGGTTTATCTTTGATATAATCTAATTTAAATGTCAGTGCATTAAGTGTAGGGTTCGAAAATCTGAACGATTGGTTCTAAATTCTAAGATTATGAAACATCATAACCAAACGAAAAGAAAATTATGAGCCTAATTTGATTATTGAATCAAATATCCCTAAAATTATGTGATTTTTCGATCAAATTTGGTTGCAATTGTATTGCCCAACCCTTTAATGTTTAGGATTGAATTATGAAATTAGACCTCATTTCCTTCCTGCCCTGCCTCTGCAATTAAGACCAATTTGGTCGTTTAGAGGTTGTAGCTAAAAAAAAAATGAAATTAGGTTGGCCAAACAATTTTTTTTTTTGAATGGAACCAAACAATCTAGCTAATTTGCTTAAGAAACAACTTGCTAATTAAGAAATTAAGGCTCATATTAATCACAAGCTAGTAGCTAACCGTAGGAACACAAACTAGCTACAAAATCTTATGTGGCATAACAAGCTCATTAACTTACCATTAGAGTTGCTCTTATAGCAATATACAAGCCCTTAAATGTAATTAATTTTCCAAACCAATAATCCGTCATCATTTTGTGACCGAGGTTTTGTTGTTGTTGTAATAATCTGTCATCCATTTACAGATATGGATTTGGATAAGAAAACAGGTAGGGATGTTTTACGGAGGATACTCGATCAACATGAATTGGGGGCTAATATTGGTTCCGAGACTATGCCTCTGCTCGAGGTGTTCTCTGTCAGCGTAAATACCAGCCTCCCTGGCATGTTTTTAGATGATTGTGATTGTTGTGAAATATATGGCACTATTAAAGCCACTAATGGATTAGGTCATGTATTTGATCTCTACAAACGGAAACGCAACAACCCTGAGTTTATTGAGCCGAATAGGGATGGCTACACTCGTTATTTGTCATTAACTGGACTTAAGGATGGTCGTGTCATTATACCCTATGATTATGTCGTTATGGAGGTGGACCCAAGGGATAGGGCTCGAAGTGATGTTGTCATTGCTAAGGGAAAGTTGAGCTTCAACTACAAAGAAACCTTTTACACAGAACATGGAGCTGAAATTGTTCTGGGTGAGGCCGGATTTGTGACTCTGCATTATGCCACTTTCCCTTATGCAGTGACAGCTTCTGTGGATGTGTTTTTCTTCAGCAAAGACGGTGATTATGATGTATTAGACTATGATTGTGATGTTGATGTTGATTATACTGATTATGATACTTCTGCATATGGAAATGACGATGGTGTTGATGTTTATGGAACTGTTGTTGCACAAACCAATTTTCCTGGGAGTGTCTCCTATGGGACTATCTCAAGTATACTTTTAAAATTGTCACGTGATGAATGTGTACGGGTCAAGTCTAGATCATCTATTGAGCTATCAAGGTCCATGGTTGCTATGCCAGTTAATTCAAATTCCCCCTTGAAATATATGTGGATTTCAAGTATAAGGATGGAAGCAGACTAGCTAATGGGGTCTTAGAGTTTCCATCTAATGACTGCAGCCAGTTTAAGATGGATTTAGTGGGTGGAAATGGGCGTATTAGAGTGCGAGTGAAATGGGGTAAGGCATATGAGCTGCGTTACAAAGGAAGTGATTTGAAACGCTGTTCGAATGAAGAGAGCAAGCTTGATGAACTGGTTAAAAGGCAGCGGGTAATTTTTTTATTTGGTTGTTGTATTGTATCTTTTCATGTGATATTGCCTTTCTTTTCCTATGTATTTTTTAGTGGGATACTGGTTTATTGTCTCATCTTACATTTGATGTTTGTTATCTCTACAGTATTTTGCTGATCCACAACCCTCAGCATCCTTCTCGTGTGATGATTGGTAGGTTGCTAACTTTTATTTGACACTCTTATGCCACTAGTGTATTTTTATAGATTAGTCATATGGAGAGTGGGAGGTAGCTCAATTGGTTAGAGCATCCTCCCGATTTTAGGAGATTTTGGAATTGATTTTCATTACTCGCCCTTGTGGCTCTTTAAACACCAAAAATAAAATGGATTAGTCATTAATTTTATAATCACTATTACCCAATGTATTTTGGTGGCAAATGAAGAGAAGTAAGAGTTTGGAGGAGATGGTGATTAAGGGAGGATCGGAGGAGGAATGGGTGATGGATTCATATTCTTCAAATAATAAATCATATTATAATTAAGAAATTTTGACTTTTGGTACCACAAAAACACATGTTATTCATTTTTGCTACCGCTCAATTTTTTTTTTTTTACTACCACACAAAAACACATTTGTTAAAATTTGCTACCACTTAACGGAATGGGTTAAGATTCCGTTAAGTTTATTAAAAAAAAAAAAAAAAAGAAAGAAAACCAGCCAGCCACCCTCCCTTCTCCCTTTCCTCCACCTTTGCAGCCCCACCACCCTCAACTGCCCACCAGCCCCCTCCCGTCAGCCAGCCTCCCCCCTCCCCTCTGCCGGCGGCCAAAGCTTGGGCCAATGCCGGCGACCCCACCCCAAACCCTTTCCCCCATCAACGCAATCATCACAAAATAAATCAAACAATTTGCACAAACTAATCAAACAATATAACACAAATTAATCAAATCTTGCAGCATATATACCCTAGAAACAATCGAATTTTTCAGAACAAAACCCTAAAATAATTGATTATAAAAGAGATTAGAGCAATTATGTACCAAATTCGTTGAGATTGATGAGTGAGATTTGCGATGATAGCGAAAATGAAGATCAGAGATTGAGCATTTGGGAGGAGAGAGAAAATGTTGATGAGCGTTTAAGAGGAGAGAGAAAATATAGTGGATGAGTTTTGTGATTTGTGAGAACAGAAAGGAAAACGTTTTCCTTTGATTTTTGGAGGAAAATGTTTTCAACTGTGGTGTAAAACAATTTTACGGCCTAAATTTTCCATTCTAATTTTCAGTTTGACCAAACAATGTAAAATGGGGAAAATAGTTTTCAGAGAAAACATTTTACGTCCTACCAAACGGACCTTAATGTAAAAATTCTCATAATTTATAAGGCATCTTTTGGGTGTAACCGAGTAATGGTCTTATCATGAAATTGATTCATAATAAAAATAAAGGATCCCTTTTGATTAATTAGAGTTTTGTCTCTTGGAGAAATGGCAATTGGCAAATTTCACGTTGTTCTCTAATCCCTATAGATAGAAGCTGTACGGCATATTTCACGTAGTTCTCTACTTCTCTAGTCTCTTGGAGTATACTACACAATGTTTCTCTATAAATAGAGGATGTATGTTGTACGACATACGTAATACGCGGTGTAAGGATATACTCTGATCTGGGTTGGAATACAATGGGATCTAGTGACTCTTGGCGGCCTTCAGCTTATCTGACATTAGCATAAGAGTACGTAACAACTACTCTGCTATTGCATTTGTGTAAAGAAGAGGATGCGAATGCTAACAAACTCGCCTAAAGTATCACCAATTGCTTACATGTATTGAGAAGACTGAGAAGTAAACTATGTTGTCATGTGAGACAAAGAAAGGTGAAACAAATACACCACCGTAGACACCAGCACAAAGGCTATCGCTTATTTGCATATCAATTTTTGATCAAACTGATCGTAATGGTTGTAGTTTTGTACACGACTTTATGTTACAATCACAGACATTTCATAGCTGAAGGTACGAGGTGCAAACCAGCACAAAGGCTATCGCTTATCAGTCACTTTGTTAGCTGGTGAACTACTCATTAGGTACCTCTCAACTACGGGTGAACACCGGTCCAAACCCGGACCGGAACCGGATTGGACCGGTGGACGCGGACTGTCAATGGACCTGAAGCTGCCGGTTCAAGTCCGGTCCAAAACGACCCGGGAATTTTATGTGTGTTTCAGGTGAACCCGATCCAGACCCCAGACCGGAATGGACCTGAATTTACCGGTCCGGCAATGATCCAAACCCGGTCCGGTTCAGATCCAGGGTATTTTATGTACACCCGTAAAATGTCAAGGCCGCGGAGTTCCTTGACCACAGGCATAATGGCAGGGACAGGTGATTGGAACAAGGAATCATCAGCACGGCCACTCCAAGCTTTTTTGCTTCTTTTATGGCTGCTCTAGTTGCACAATGAACTAATGCTGCTAGCAGCAATGGTGGCTTTCCAGATGCTGCAAGAAAACCATACAGAAGTAAGATAACAAATTTTCTTACATGATCAAACTAGAGATCACACCGTTATTAATTTTCGTTCTCTATTTTTGTTCGGGATAGCTTTATTTCTATCCTTTCCTGTAATTTTGATGCCTATTATCTTCAAACTATGTATTACACATAAGGCACACTGTTGTATAATTATACCTTTAGATGATAGGACGCGGTTCTGATGAGCCACGAATTGGATGCTTTAAGTATCAACAAGAGAAGGGGAGTCGAGTAAGATCACAATCAATCCAAAACATAAAAGTAGTCACTCCGGCAAAAAAATTAAGAAAGTATGTTTTAGAATAAATAAGTTCATAAGCATTTTATTTAAGCAAAACTGTAAAACGAAGGAAGGCTAAATGTTACACATGACTTAAAATGTATCTAAAGTCTTTTTTTTTTTTTTTTTTTTTTTTTTTTTTTTTTATTTTTTTTATTTTAAGCAATATATCATATGAAGTAAGTAATTCTGTAAGGGTGCTAATAAAAATCAACCTGTCCCAAATCAACAGCAGGATTTACGCTCTGTCCATAATCATATATGATGTCTGACCGCAAAATAGTAGTTTCTCTCGTCATGAGATTCACTTCTACCTGTAGAAGAAAAGTAGTATCATAAGAAATAGTCCTCAGAAAAAAGGATCACGTATTTCTTAACTTATTTTCTTATTACTTCTTTCAAAATATCATGATGCTTGCTTGAGAAGGGGTTAATATTTCCACCAAAGTATTGCAGCAGGTTCTTACAGCTTCACAACTAGACTCAGAAGTACTACTTCCTGCAGTAAACCCTCATTGTACCATGCTTAACGTATCGTATCTGCTTAATTACTCTTACCTTATCCAAAAGATCATCACTTCCAGTACACTTGATCATACTCAGACCAAACGCCGCCATCTATTTTACTTTGGTCCATAGACCTTGACCAAGCTTGATCCTTCCTACTTCCCCAGCAATTGACCCATCCCGGAGTATGCTGACTTTACCAGGGGTTGGTCTCAGTGAAACACCATGCACAACGGGTAACCTGGAAATTCCCTTTTTACGCCAAATATTAGTCTTGTTAAACTGCTTTACCATCTCTTTTCTATGTTTAAAGCTTGAAGATAAAGGTATCTTATCCCAAATTGTGGGTAACCCGGCTCTCCATCAGAACAAAGTTAAGTTATCGAAGGTGTGGAAGTTTTGGTCTTTAGCAACATCAACATCTATCCAAAGGGTAGAAGCTACATGTTCAATCACGGCTTCAGCAATAAATGTTCCTTGTACTACACCGGGAGCTCGCATTGCTGATTTACTTGTATGATTTGTCTTGCATAATTTAATATCGAGTGATAAAGCACCCCAATCATACTTCTTAAGTCTATTCACTATGCTTGCTGGCATTATTAGGCTAATATCTTCTGATATACCAGCGTTAATCAAAATCTCTAGATCTAAAGCTGTGATCTTCCCATTCAATATGAATCCCACACTGTAAGTGATTTTCATTGGATGTCTTCCTCCAGTCATTATCATATCAGTCTTGCGACTGAGACACATCCTCACTGGATGACGAAGCTTGTATGCTGCTAATGCACAAGCTGATGCAACCTATAATATGTTCAATATTGTGTTATTAATTTAATAAAAAAGTGGAGAGATGGAAAACTAGAACTAATGTAAAGATATTTTCTTAATTGAAAGGCCAGGCTTTCTTCCTTTCAGAATTGAATTGATAATAACCGAGCCTTTCAAGTGATTTTCAGCATATAATATCTCACCAGCTACTGCTAATTCAAGACATCAATTTATGAATATTCCTATTTCTCATTCAGTAGTATATTATATTTATGTACAGTCATGCAATGAGCAAGTTTAGGTTAGTATATCCTGATTGGCCATAAAAAAATGTATCAGAAAACTTACTTGACAAATATATTTAGAGAATCAAAGCACAGATGCTAAAATGAAACAGTAAGGAAATTAAATGTAATCAGGAATCTTAAGACCAAAATACTCAAAGGCATAGCTTTTATTTCCTTTCCTCCAAAACCGCCTCCAACCCGCCTTGTGAGGACACGGATTTTGTTTTCAGGTACTCCAAGACAACTTGCAAACACAGAATGTGTAAATTCTGGAACTTGAACAGAGCTATAAACCACCATGCAGTTTGAGTCTCCACATAGAAATAGTACTGTGATGGAAGTCTAATCTACAGATACCACCAAAGTCAAGTCATAAGAATTAGATCTGTTGAAGTTAATAGACCATTGCTCTTAACTACTGATTCAGAAAACTTATTCACCTAAATACAGTTAAGAGTAGAAATAGAATGCACGTGTGGTACCTCTGAAAGAATTTTCTGATAAGCTTCAGACATTCCCTGTTCAAAGTCACCGACTGATGTCGAAAAAAAACCTACTACTCTCAACTGCTTCTTCAACTGTCAGAATTGGTGGCTCTATATTTCCAAGTCATACTCAACGACTACTTTAGTAGCTGCAATGTCTGTATGCCTCTGCGTATCTGCAACCTATGTTGTTCTCAGAACTGATTATGCCTCAATAGTTTAACTCAAAGATAAACCAAGGCCGTGAGAAAAATGACACCTAAAAAAAACTTTAAGAGGAAAATCGACTTACAACTAGTGCAATACGTTCACCAGCACATCTTGTGAGATCATCAGCAAATAATAAATCTTTGCCAAATATTGTTTGGGCTCCTACATTCTTCCCACCGTATGGGATATCTTTGTAGGAAACAACGGAAACAACTCTGTCTGGATGTGATTCAGACTCGTATCTCACACAATTGACACTTGCCAATGGCTTTGTGCTATAAGCAAATGCTCCATGAAGACAGTCTTTTGGTGAAGGAATATCGTCAACATATGTTGCCTTGCCTGCAAAAAGTAACTCAAAACGTTTAAGAGAATATAGCACAACACGTGCTGGTTTGAGTAACATAGCATTATTAATATCATTGAAGATGACAG